GTACCGACTCGGGTAGAGCGGGATCTGACGGCACATCATTCATCTCCGAATAACCCCCGACGGCTGGCGCATCCAACGCGGACTTAGCCACGTTCGCGGCTGCGTGCACGAACCCGACGCTCTGGACGTACGGTACGCCTACCGCCTCTAATGAATATACTAATCTACTCTCACAATATTTGATCCTGTACACCAGGCCGCCCTGGGGCCCCGGATGATGCATCTCGACTAACCCACCGGTATTTTTGCTTTTTTATTACCGTCTTAGCTGGGGAGATGTCTGACGGGGTACTCAGTTTGTGAAATGGTGTAAGGGTGACGATATCCGTAGCATACAATTATACTTGTATGTAGTACGGGCCCCGGTTGTTCCTTATTGGGACCGCGCCGGTATTCAACTTCCTTCCTTCCTTCCATGCAGTGGAACGCCGATCGAGGTGTTGCTCCTGGAGGCTGATTTTGAGTCCGGCCATTCCCGGGAAATTATACATTTCTTCGAAAGGGGCTTGAAGTTTCAGAGTCCGCAAATCGCAGATGACTACTGGGGCTGCACTGTGGTAGGGAATGATATGGAATGGATCCCGCTTTTGGTGAACCACCGTACCAAGCAATACATTGCTATCGAATGCTCAACACTGGTCTAAATTTCTCTTAGAAAGCATACGCCCACACACTAACGGATACATGCATTATAGACCCGTTTGCATCTTGTCGCTGGTCATATCCTCCTCACAAATCCTGCACCGGGCCCCGTTTCAGCCCGTCTTTACTCTATCTCTTCTCTGAACTCACATTGGAGACCCCTGGCGAACTTCAACCTGGAGCTCCCCACGTCCGAATCGGCGCTTACTCCGAGTCCAACCCTCCTTCCCGTGACACGCGACACGACACCCATCGACCGCGGCGTCGACCGCCCGCACCAACGCCGTGCACTCCTGGCTGAGAGTCTCCTCCGCCGACACACCTACCTCCTGCGGGTCTTTGACCTGGTCTCGTACCCCACTATTCCGGACAGCATCCGGACGACCTCGACGCACCGGCTCAGTTTTTCCGCAGCCGATGGTCAGACACCCGAGTGCACTCTGGTGTCGACGTTCGTTGAGGCCCCTGTTGTTGGCATGAATTTCATGGAGACCTCGCGCGCGGAGTACTCCCTCCGCAACTCGTTGGTCACCGACAATCGCGTGGGTGTTTTCCGCCCGGAGGACGGGACAGCAAAGTACATTGAGCTCGACGTCGGTGTGCACCGTGCGCACCATGCGTCTCTGAGCAATAACGGGGGGTTGGTGGTGCTACACGAGTCGGGCGCTGAGATTCTTTATTATGACTAGGTGTGCGGAAGGGACCCGCGAGGGAGTGGTTCACTGGATAGATCCACTTCTTTTGGGTTTGAGTTTCACGCTAGTACGATGTTTTCTTTTGTATTAATCCCAGCTCTGCCAGGCATACATTTGCAGCCAGACGTTACAGATTCGTTTCTCAAGACCAACCAGCGAGGTGACCATTTGCGGAAGGCCTCAACTACCTCAACGCCGTCCTTACCCCTCTCGCGCACCGGCTTGATGGTATCGGTGCGGTACAGTCACTCGGAGTAAATCTGAGACCTGCATGGTATGAAGATCATGAAATTATGATCATTGAGGGCGGTGAAGAAAACGGGAGGAACGGCGGCCGCCGTTGAAAAGGGCGAGAAAGGCGTTGAGAACAAGAGAGAATGGAGTATGCACCGAACCCCCCCTCGCCAGTCCAAGTTCGCCGCACCGACCGAATTCACCACACCGGTATATTTCTTATCGTCGAGTACCTGCTGTGCTATGAATGCTGCCCGCACTGAAAAACTGGTGCAAGTGCAATCACCGACGCGATACCATCCCCCAGTTCGTGAATTCTATGAATGTTGGGATACCAAGCTAATTCGTTCGTTCATCCGGCCATCGATATCTCAACTTTACATGTACCGAGACTCTGAAATTGAGTTCATCTGGAGAAATTTGGAGATAAACGAGGCAGGTGAGAGGTACATATGTCTGGGTGTCATTCGCCAGAGCGTCTATCAACGAGAAACTATGCCTGAATTGAAGTAATTGCTGAACGGCAGCAATAGCTGCAGTGCTAATTGCACTCATAATTAATGAGATGGGTAGATAGGTGAATTGATTCATTCGTTGCAAGAGGTCGGTCGTTAGATGCAAGTTGAACATTTCAACCGCCACCCGGAACTACCCGGGACCGGCCATCACACGGCACGACAAAACTGTGCAGCAGCAATATTGCCAGAAAAAGGCGACGCGACGGCGAAATATTCTCAAGACTCGTAGATTCAGGCTTTGGGACAATGGACGTGGAAGGATCTTGCGAGAAACGAACGAGTGCAGGAACGGATTGGATTATCGGTGGACAAGAAACGTAGAATAGCTCTATGCCTTGTTCGCAGCGGCGGCGGCAAACTTGGCATCCTCCGCCGCAGCAACGGCGGGGTTGACCTTCTTCCCGTCCTTCCACCGGATGCGCGGTGGCGGCGCACGGTTCCTCCGCCCCTCGCGCGAGCGCACACGGACGACTGCACCAGATTCGTCAGTTTTGAGTCGGGGTACAAGGGAGAGAGAGGACGCACTGTGTGCGTGGATGGCGCACGAGACGCAGTATGCGATTTTGTTGTAGAGCTTGGGGATAACGTATTCTGCGCGCAAAGACTCGGTCGGACGAGAAAAAGTCGGAAAAGAGTGGAAACGAACCCTGGTAAACGCTGGCTTCGCTGATGTCCCGGACAGCGGCGCTCTCGACCATGTTCCTCACGGTGAACCTCTTGATGGCCTTGTCCTTCCCGACGCAGCGCGAGCAGTTGGAGCAGCGCATGAAGGTGACATGGCCACGTCCCTTCTTGTTGCGGCCGCCATTTCTTCTTTTCTTGGTCTGTGGAGAATGGGATGAGTATGCGACGACAATACAAGGTTTCCAGGGCTCAAACTGCGAGCACGACACTGACCATTTTTGGTGGTGGGAAGAAGGACTGTTTGGGGTTTGTTTGCACTTTGTACGTAAACTGCCATTGTTCTCGCCTTCCTCTTTTGTAACAATGAAGTTGAACCGAATGTGGGTCTATTGTTCTGGGCGCTATAAAACTGGCCGCAATTTCCCAAGGATGCAACTCAAATCCCCTTCACGACCCTTGTCTGTCTTTGCCTGGCCACGTCTGAGCCCGGAGCTCCTTACGCACTTTTACTATCTTTCATTTCAACGAATCAACCACCGCAATGTCCGGTCTCACGTCCTTTTATTTCTTGCTTGCTGCCTCTTCTACCCTCGTCTCGGCCGCCCCGGTCCCTAGAGCCACTTCCGATGCTGCCGCCCTTCTCAAAACCGGCCAAACCGCACAAAACATGAACTTTCAATTCCAAAACCTGACCGCCACCGATGCGTGCACGAGTGAGTCGCCCCTGCTGCTTTGCGCTCATTATGCTGACGTTATCTAGCTGGGGACGTTGCCTGCATCAAGGGCGACCTCGCCACCTGCGCCGACAGCAAGTGGCAGACCGCAGGCTGCTTGAACGGCCTCTCGTGCTTCGCTATTCCCTCGTTCAGCAAGGCGAGCGGTGTGGTACGTTGATACTTCTCTTCACGTGGGACGGCGACTCATTCTACTCGCAGGATGTCACCTGCACGAGCGAGCGCAACGCGCTGACTACGATCCACTCCACCGGTGCCTCGAACGATATCGCCGTCGCCAACGCCGCGGCCGACTCCACCGAGGAGACCTGCGAGCCCGACACGGACAGTGGGGACGACGACGATAACGACTCTGGCGACGACACCTGCGAGAGCGAGGGCGGAGAGGGCTCCTCTGCCGCTGCGACCTCCACCACTGCCGCCGGCAAAGCCACAGCCAGCGCCACCACGACTGGCGACGACACCTGCGAGAGCGAGGGCGGAGAGGGCTCCTCTGCCGCTGCGACCTCCACCGCTGCCCCCGGCAAAGCCAAAGCCAGCGGCACCACGACCGTCACTGCGGGCGGGGAAGTCACCGTCACCGTCACCCTCCCCGCCGGCGCCACCGCGCCCGCCGAGACCACCACCACCGTCTTCGTCACCCGCGCCTGCATCTGCCCGCCCGTCCGCAGCGTCAGGCTCGGCTGCCCAGGCCTCGGGCTCGGGATTGTTCTCGTTCTCGGGCACGATCACCCTCGAGCCGCAGACGACCGTCGTCAGCCCGGAACAGGCCCAGTCCATCGTCTCGAGCCTCGCCGCGGGGGGCGCGACTGTCACCACCGTCGGCGCGCCCGCTGCGACCTCCGCCCCCGCTGCTGCTCCGGGCGATAACGACAACGACGGCGCCGCGAGCGCAAGTGCCAGTGGCACGCGCTCGATCATCCAGCTGTCGTTCGCGCCTGCACCCACACCTTCGCAGGCGAACAACGGCGGCGCCGCGAGCGCCTCGAAGGCGTCGGCCTCGGCGTCGATCATCCAGCTGTCCTTCGCGCCGGCGCCCTCCGCCTCCGCTTCCGCTTCCGCTGCACCCGCCCCCTCAGCGGGCAACAACAACGCCGCCGCACCCGCTGCGGCGCCCGTGATCACCCTCCTCCCCGCCCCCGCCGCAGCCCCCCCCGCGGCCGGGAACCCCTTCCCGTTCTCCGACTACTAATACTAAATGAATCTGCACACGAATTCACCACGACGGACCTGCCCTGACCTGACCTGCTTATCTCACCTCATCTCATCTCACACTGTAGCGTTTAGATTACCTTACCTTACCTTACTTGGTATACTCATTGTTGTATTAGTTTAACTGTGTTCAATCGATCCGATTCGATGATTTCAGGCAGTTTGAGGCGAGCGTGGGTTTCGATGGCTTGGGAGAGAAATGGCCGAGGTCATCGCGGGGGTGTGCAATGCAGCGGCCTTGCTGCTCTGGTAGCGGTGTGTTTGCCTGCCTTCCACCGCAGTTTCCAGTTTGAAGGTCTGCTGTGTTGCCACATAGTTACATGGTAGGGAGACTTTTTATCGGCCGTCTAGCTCAGTTGGTTAGAGCGCCGTGCTAATATTCAGAGTTCATTCTTGATTTACGCGGAGGTCTTGGGTTCGACCCCCACGATGGCCATGTCATACGTTCGGTTTTTTTTATTTCACCGACTTTGTCTTTTGTTCGAAACCATGTCCCGTGCACGCGCTAACATGATGGATTTGATGCTTCGTTCAATGATAAGAAGTCAACATAACAAGCACTCTTTCGCTGCGCATGTCCCTGGTGGACCCCGCACGCTCAGAGGCCCCCCGGGAGAAGTTCCCATATTGGGATGTGGGCGTTGTGGTGTTTGGTGTTGTATTCCCCATCACTGAACGCGGCCTCGTGACTTCGATCAAAACTTGACACAACCGCGCGAATCGCTCTTTGTTTAATTGTTCCAAGGCAGAATACAGACATTGACTGCACGCAGGCTGAAAGACGTTTCCGTCAAGGTTCAACATGAAGTTAAGTATTTAGATGATCGATTTCTGTTGTACCCAGTTCTATATGTAGTTCCCAATTGGTTCCCAATAATACCCAAACATTACACCGAATAAATAAATATACTAGAGTCTATGGACAGGAAAGAGGGTGGGGTCTCGGTCTCCGGGGAGACGTGAGGGAAATTATGTGTGTGTTGCGGTGGGTGAGAGAGTGGCGGTGGGTGAGAGAGCGGCTTAGACGGAGAGCGTGCTGGCGAGCGCGGATAGGGAGGGCGAGAAGAAGTACTCGCCGCCGCGGGAGACGACGAAGTCTGTATGGAGGGGAATGTGCAGTCAGCGTTGATGGTACTTGCCAAGAATTGGAAGAAAGAAAGAAAGAAAGAAAGACGAAAGAAGAGACGTGCCTGTGGTGAGCGTGGTGGCCTTGGTGGAGTCGGTCGGGTCGAGGCCGGTGACGACGCGCTGGGCACCTGCAAGGGCACCGATGACGGGGTCGACACCGACACCGGCGTGCACGAAGCTGTGGATGGATTGTGAGTTTGCTGAAAGACAGTTCAGAAAGAATAAACGGACTTGGCGCTGTTGGCCCAGGTTTGCTGCAGGAAGCGGAAGCCGTTGCCGATGTTGGACTGGTAGGCGACTGCATTGTAGCATGTTAGTTGAAAAATATGTGAAAATAATATTAGGATGAACGAACCAAAGGCGAGGCCACGTTCGGTCGAGGTGGTGCTCGAGGCGGCCTCGGCATCGGAAACTACGATGCATAGTTCAATAAAAATCGAACGGAAAGCGGACTGCGACAGACCTTCAGGACCATAAGGAATACCGGCGCGCATGATGTGATGCACGGTCTCTTCGGGCGTGCCCAAATCGGCACGGGGGCGCGTCTTGCGGATGTGCGCAGAGAAGGGGCATCTGGGTTCGTTGCAGGTGTTAGTGCTGCACGAATAATTATGCGTTGAGCACACCTCGTCTGGTTGGTGGCGAGGACAGAGTCCGCGTGTGCGAAAGTGAAGTTGTTGTTGCGGGTGGGGTCGGCGCCGAGTGCGGGGTCATCGAAGAGCGGGGCAAGGTCGATGGGGGCACCCTAGTATTTGAGCGCGCAGTGAGCGATGCGTATGATAATAGAGACGAGAGATTGAACGTACGCTCTTCCAGCGGCCAACCATGCGCGCGCCGAGGAGATCAGAGCCCTGTTGGGCGGTGAGTCCGTCCTCGACGATGGGGTTGTCGGTCAGGAATTTGTTGAACTCGGGAACGAGCTGCTCGAGCTGGCGGAACACGAGGAACGAGCCGTCTTTGGCCCAGGCCGGGCGGGTGGTGACGGTGTCGCCGGTCTCCCCGACGAGGATCGCGCCGGCGTTAAGGACAGACTGGCCCGGCATGGGATTGGCCGTGAAGCCAGTGACAGCGGGGTTCGAGATGCCGTCCAGGAAGCCGAAGTCTAGGTAGAACATGAGTAATGATCGGAGTTCAACTTGAAGTTCAACCAAGCGAGGTACTCACGTTCGTGGCCTGCCTCGGCACCGGGGCGAGCCGCGGCCTGGAGAGAGTAGACTTTGGTGATGCTATCCCCCAGGGCCGCCTCAAGGCTGGCGACTGCAGTGTTGATGTTGTCGACCGTGTCGGACGCAAACAAGAGGACACCATGAATACCCGTGCCGGCGAACTCGGGGACCCAGTTCGTGGAACCCGGGTCACCCAGGGTTTTGAGATCCTTGAATTGACCGCCAGTGAAGGCGGAATCACCGAGGGCGTCGGTTACATTGAGGGTGGTGAGACCAGACTGGGAGAAGGCGATGTTCACGAGCGTGGTTGGTTCGGTCGAAACGTCGAGCAGTTGGGAGGTGGTGGTAATGAGAGGAACGATGTCGGACGCCAATTTGGGCTTAAAGTCCGCTGCATCTGCAATGCTGAAGAAGTAGAACAGCTCTTGGTTCTTCTTCATTCCGATTCTAGACGACAAATTAATATATAGCCAAGCTGCCGAAGAGAATCGGATCCTCACAGCACATCACCCTGGATGTCGTCCAAATTCAGACCGGCAGCGTCTGCAGCGGCAGTGGCCGCTTGAACAGTCGGCAAATCCGGGAAAGCATCGGGATCTGAATGAATGAATGAATATCGGTATGTAGTGTCGAGAACAACATAAAAGAAATAATCACTTATGAGAAGGGAAGAAGCCCGTCTTGGCGTCGGAGTTCGTCTGGAATTAGCTGCTGAGGCGAGACCGGAAAATAGGACGACAGTAGAAACGAGATTAATGGAGAGCTTCATGGCGGAAAGAAAAGAAAGAAAGGCCCAGAAAAATGGGATGAGGAAATGCAAACATGAAGGCGCGCTTTTAAGGTGCTTAGCTACTATCGCCCGGTTAGGGACCCGGGACAGGAGAACTGACAAGGGCAACCGAATGGAGAGAAACAGTGATTGCCCATGGCACTCGCATGGCGAATGCTTCCGTTTCGAGTTTCAACACCCGTTTGGAATGCCGATGAACTACGAGTACTCGATCTCCGTTTGGACTCCAGATGGCTGATGCGCGTACTCGCGCTGGAACGGCAATAATGCTGAAACAACCAGAAATCGAAGAATAAAATGTCCTTTAAATTTGTGAACGTTTGGGTGACTTACTTTCGGCCACAGACCACTTGCGAGCCTTGAGAGAGAGAAATTTCGCCACCGATGACTCTGTCTGGCCTTATCTTCTCCCACAGTGGTCAAGTCGAGGCCCGAAACTTCGGTCGGCAAACCTGTTGCGTACCCATCGAGCCGCTGCTTCTGACTCTGCTTATCTTATCCTGCCCGAAGTACTCCGAAGATACTTTCCGTGGCAGGTATGGAAGAGACTTCCCTTTTTTTTTCTTTGCGTAGAATTCTGCAAGTGAATTGCAGAGGCCAAATCGGGAGAAATTCAGGCAATGCGGGGAAGCTCCTATTGCGGTTAATAGTCCAATAGCAAGGCTGCTATTGGAGCATCACGACCGAGCAGTGATGATCTGTGAGCTGCGATCTGCTGCGATGCGGTTTGAACGAAGTATCGGCAATCAACGAAAAAACAAAGAAGGTTGAAGACACTGGATCCTTGTCTTGATTCCACCGCCTAATTCTCGAGTGGGTCTCCTCTCGTCAGCAGTATCGGATGACCATACCATTCCAATCGCAATGCCTTCCGTTAGGATCACCTCTTGGATTCAAAACGACGTCCTGACAAGGAGATTCAAGAACAACAGGCTTGGAAACAGAAACTAATCAGGGGACCTGATTGAACCCCGTACTGCGATTGCGGGCCGCATCATTCAAGTAGCGCTGAGAATCTTTTCAAGGCCGCCGGCAGTATGATTGAGTAGGGTTGCGTTGAACACTGCTAAACACTTCCCCGAATGTCGCAGCATGCAACTGCTTATGACACGAACAATCAAGGTCTAGGAACCGTCGGGCGCAGCTCGCAAATGGGGAGAACTTACACGAGCGCCAAGAGGATCGTCCTCGGTAGTTCTCCGAATAGCGAAATTTCTGAGTCGACCATACCTCAGCCCCGGCCAAGATGTTCAAGCTTGATCTCGCTTGAATCCAGGCGAACCGTCAGCGTCGTTCAACACCGAGGTGGCCGACATATTTATAGACCGACCTACTATTCTTGCAGGCGAGCTTCGCGAAGATCCTGACTTTGAGCTTCCACGGCCTTCGGCCATTGCTGGCTAGATAGGACCAGACCCACACTGGAAGGGGGATTCATCAAGGCTATGGTAACATTTGTGGATGATATCGCCTGTAACTGCTGTCCGGCCCTGCGCGAACTCCGCCGAATGGCACCATACCGAAGCGCGTTGTGTTGTACTCGGGAAATTCTTCTTGGGGGTTGTTCAGCTGAAGGAACGATCACAAACAACATAACTTACACGCCGTGGTTTCAACCTCGGATTTTGTGTCATCTTCGTCGCGTATACCCAACCATTTTGCCCAGTCTACACCTTGCTTGTGCAACATCATGAGCGCCATTACGACCGGCAAGTACCAAAGACTATGTCGGAACATGAGGCGGGCCTCTTTCTCCCCACCGACGCGCCAAAACTGCCATGCTGCGTGGGCGCATATGGCATTCGGGACCAACGAAGTCAGAGCAAAGGTCCAGGTCGTGAGGCCGGAAAGCGGGATAAGGACGGAGCAGATGGGGACGAGTAGAAGGGCATGTCGCAGAGCAACGACTGCATTTTTTCGAGGTGATAGAACAGCCAGCATCCTATAGCCCGCTTGCGCGTACGACCCTCGCACGAGGTGGGACAACCCATTAAAATGGGGGAATTGCCAACTGAATAGCAGCATGAAAAATGCGAGAGGCGCTAGGGCGTTGTCAATGAGGGCGAGGTCGACAGCACCGGCGGATAGGAACGGAGGGAGGAAGAGGTGTATGGGGTACGATGGCGATAGGAATAACTGTCCACCACAGGCAGTCCAACCCATGAGTGGAGGAAGAGCTCCGACAACGGAGCCGACCCAGGTGTTATAGATGGTTTTTCTCTTCATCCACGTGTAGAGGCCGGCATAGAGCGCGATGTTCGACGCGCCAAGCAAGGCAGTGGTAGGATTCACCATCGTCCAGAGAAGGAGGGGGCCGGATATTCCGGTAGCGACTGCGAAGCCTGCTGCGTG